TTGAAATTCCAAATTTTTTGAAAATTACAATAGTGCGATTGTTGGGGGGCGTCTTCCTACAACAATAATATTGTAGATATATTTTTTTATTGAAATCTGTCTCTTAAAAACGAATCTTTAAATAAAATGAAGCTCAGTTATTCGAAAAATGTCTCGAACAGTAGTTTTCGTGTACTTTTGGGGCGAAATATACGCAATTAAAAAATTAACATTTTTTCCCTCAAAAACCTCTCCAATTTTTTTCAACGGATAGAAGGGATGGTTAAAGAAGGGCGTCGATCTCATTTTCGTTGAACTCTCTGAATTTTCGGAAATTGCTAATTTTGGATTATTGCGAGAAAGTGTGTGCAGTTGTAGCCCCAACGCGTGTTTGGAAATTTTCCGCGCGAGATAACGGGCAGCATAAAACCTTTTGATTTTTTGAAAATCTAAGTTCACGACATGGATTCTAACTTCACAACGAGTTAAGAGGTTGTAAATTAATAAGTATAGGAACAAGATTTATCAACTTTGTCGTTATGTGGGCCCGGCAATAAGAGTTGAATTGAATTAGAAAGGAATTCTCTAGCCTCAATATTCTAAATTCTGCGTTTTATATTTACACTTTATATTTTTCAAAAATCATGATAAGTAGCTGGCAAGGGTATGTAGCAAGACAGAATAGCTAGCCTAGACAAAAGGAAAGCAAACTAATACGGGAAAGTCTGTGCCATTTCGTAGCACCAGTTGTTTTGTTATCAGGGGGCTCAAAAACAAGTTTATTATGTCGAAAATTCGCCGATTTTTGCTGCATCATTGCATAACTTCCTTCGAAAAAGCAAAAATAAATTACTTCCATGTAGAATGTAAATGATAAAATTACAAGGAAGCAAGTTCATTCAGAGTAAAAATAAATTAAAACCAAGCGCAAAAAGTCCTTTGAAATAAACGTTCTTATCACCACTCATGTTATCGCATCCTACTTCTGGTATAAAGTGCTGTGTTGTTGCGCAGTGCTGTATTTAGCAACATAACCCACAACCAGGCTGTCGCGGTCGCCCGCGTATCCTGCAATGCAATGTCCGGTGCCTGGAGTTTCTTCCGCTATATAGCTTCGTTTAGCACTGTTACGAATCGTTTGAACCTTGCTCCCGCAACAGCGTACGCGCATGAATAGAGATGGTCGATTTTAGCAACTGCAAAAAATGCCAAATGTTTCCAAACGCTCAAAAAATTAGTAATTGTATGTTTACTATTCTGCGAATAAATTTTCTGTCGACTTGATAGCTGGGAGTGGAGGAGAGCGATGTCGCCACTTGCATGGGCGGCAGACACGTGGTCGTTTTGAATCAGATCAGTTGTTGAGGCATGCACGTCCAACTTATTGTATTTGTAGAAGAATTGCAATAATGACACTAGTTTATTTCATAAAGAACTGTTACACTAATTTATTGCAGTCTATTACAATAATTCCGCTAATAACAAGAAATAACGAATAGTTTTTGCATAACACGCGCAAAGCAGATGAAAAGTAAGTACAGTGAGACGCGTTTTTGGAAGTAAGATGCATAGTATTATAAAAGATTTATATGAGATAAGTATCTACACTCGACACATTCTTGGTTTTTAGTACATACTTTTCAAGAAACGTTCACAATTACTTGAAATTGCAGAACTTTTTGAAGTTACTAACTTACCTTGTAAATGTAGCGTCACTATGCACACGATTTGTTGAACTATCCTTTTGCTTGTAACGGTAAGTGTAGAGGTACGGCCAAATAAGTTTTCTATAACTCAGAAACGAAAATGGATATTTTTCAAATATTGCTATTCTTACTATTTTTAAAATTTATTTATTTTTTTATGTTAAACTTTTACTCACCTTTCAACTATTTATAGTTAAAATGACGGGAAGGTATTCTGGAACTCAAAAAAACGTGCGCAGATATTTTCCCCCCTACGTCACATACAGTTTTTACTGTATTTTTGACTGAATAAATCTAAATCTAAATCTCCCTGTAATTTACGTACGTTTTCAAGAATAGGTCCTACCGAATGCAGTTGCATAAAGAAAAATTGTGTAAGGTGGAAGTACATAAACATTGTGTCATAAGTATATAAGCATTTAAGTATTATCACTACATATACGAATATAGTATACACACAACACAGAACCGCACACGATGCATAACCATAGAGTAGAGAGATATCTCTGTGCATAACCAAACAAGCAACGGTGCTCGGCGCTCTTCAATTTTCAATTACTTCGCACTATAAGATTTATTTTTTAGTAAATGTCGGCAACTCTGCAGTGACATCACAATTTGAAGCCTCTGATTGGATAACAGAACTCCCGCTCCTCTGTCAACTGGGAGCTGCCATGTAGGCAGAAGTATTATTCGCAGTATAATTGCATGTTCAGATTAGAAGGTTTACAGAATGAATTTGTACTTACGACGCGTAGATTATTTAAAGAGTAGCTTCCAACGAGAAACAAATTCAATCATTTTCTGATTAAAAATTATCTTTATCCATCGTAAAAGCCAAAATTAAGTTGTATTTTAATTAAAGTAAATGTTTTGAACTACGTACATTGAAATTAATTACATGAACAAAACATTAATTTTAGTCATTGGCTTAAGAAAAAAGAATCATTACGAAACGGAATATTAAAATAATATATTTACGTTTCATACGCGCTAAAAATATTTTGTCCAGCAGAAACTCAAAAAGTGATGGTTGGATTGAATGATTGGTTCATTGGTGATTCCGGGCGCATTTATTGCTAATCATTAGTCCCGTAAATGTAGTGCATGCTTTTATCGCTAGCGGTTTTCTTTCCCCGATAGATGGTGAGATCCGACAGCAACTTGCCTGCTGGCTTTCGGGGTTTCTCCCTAACGAAATAATCTCCCACCAGCTGGGCACCACCCGAGACATGACAAACTTCAAGCGATTGGTCTCTCGATATGTTGGATGTAAGTGTGTAAGCAAGGAGTGAAAATATAACAAGGAAGAGGAAGGTAAGATCGCGCGCGGTCCGAGGCCGTTTTGTTTGGACACAATAGGCGTTTGCCTGTTGATCGCATAATCCACGGAAAACTATCGATCAGAGCAGCAGACCACTAGAATATTCCTCCAGACAACGGGTGAATTCGACAGAGCTGCAAATCTAAAGTCGAAAATCCTGTTGGGACTCGAACCCTAGAGCCTCCCAGACAGAGGCACTGCATAATCTCTGCGAATTTCAATCGTTATAATATAGTGTATTTTCCGGTATTTATGTCTTGATGTAAGGGAGGATAATTTCTGAATGGTGGTGTAGTACTTAGGAATTTGTGAGCGAACGACAAAAGTGAATTTGAAACTGAAATTACAATAAAAATTTAATAATCTATATCCCATCAATTTTTTCTTGTATGTAAGTATATTAAATTCAATTACTTTTCCAATTAAGAAATTACTTTTTTTTAAATGTTGGAATGTGTATTCTTCAACGCCGCTGCAGTTTATTGTACAATTCAAGAATTGTCGAAGATTGTTTTTGTGAAAATAATGTATTTATTGTAGTCTTATAAGTCAGTTATTTCTTTATTGTTCTACGTCCTTTCTTTGTTGGGAAACCATTTTGTATGGTTTCATTCACTTTCAGCATTTCTGCTGCGCAGGTTGAATGTTTTCGCTATTTCTGCCAGCCTAGGATAAAATTCATTTTCCATTTTACTTGTATATAACTTGTTTTAAGTTTACTGAGGTGACATCAGCTTTCCATTTTCATATAGGTGTTGTGGTGAGTTATCGTTGGCATTTCTAATGCCAATGAAGACGCGTATAATTATTTAATTTCCATTTCCAGTCTGATTCGTGGCGCAACGCGCTGAGTTCCCAATACAGAGAGTCAAAACCGTATTTTTAGCTCCATTGGCACTTGCTGCATAACGCAAGTTAGTATAGGCTTCATTAGTAACTAAGAAATAAAAGAACAATGAGAACGAATGTATGTTCCAAAACCTTTCAGCTTACTAAGTCATGTGATGGCTCAAGAGTGAAGTCGTTTACCTTTCACCAAGGAGGTCCGGGTTCGATTCCCGTCGAATTCCGGACAATCTCATGTGAAATTCGTTCCAACAAAACCAGTTTGGCTGCTTTCACAAGGGCTAGTCCAACCCCTGTAAAGTGTCCTAAACCCTACTCCAATCCTAATTTCCCCAATTCTGGCCGCTGGGTAGTGACGCAGGAGTGCGTAGTAGGAGGCGCGTACGCGAAGGTACTACCTGGCGGTCCTTTTGACACCTGACCGAGACGTGAAGAAAATGAAAATGTTAAAGTGATAACGGAGGATTACTCATGCGCTGTTAATGAGAGAATTAATCTAAGCGCTCAACGCCCCCCAAGAGGCTTGGGGACGCGTTGCGTCAATTGAAAATTTTGCGATGAATCGGAGCGTATTTTCGTAAAGTTCACATCCTCAAACCCTCGGCCGATAGGGCGTAGGAAGTGCTGTGGCAACGGCGGAACGGACAAACATCCGCTTTCCGTCACAGATAAAGAGGCCCCGCCTCGCTGCTGCGCGGCAGAAGGAAACAGTCGGCCCTCGAGGGCCGACACTCGGGCCACATTCACAGTTCTTTCGTTTCTACAACACTTCGTCGATTTATGTTCCTTCTCAATACCATTGAAGATTCCATCAACCAAATTCACACATCAGGTTTGCATATGTGATGTGTGTGTGGAGGAGAGCAATATTAATCGACAGCCACTCCACTCCTCAAGAACCGACCATGAAGAATTTTCTCTCAGCCACCATCGCCTTCGTTCTTTGCAAGGGACGCACCTTAGTGGATAGCCGCTCTACTAATCGAGGTCCTGTGAAGGAACAGTTTATCAAAACCACGACTGCTACTGCTCCGTGATGCGTCTGTTGTCATGCTGGTGCTACTGGCTCATCGCGGACGCAATACAAGGAGGCGGTGCGACAGACTTACGTAAGTGCTGCCGGGTTCACGAGAAGCCCTTCACAGATGGGGAGACTTGGGAAGACGCTAGCTGGCCGAGGAACGTATTTCAAAGTGATGACGTCTGCATTATTTTCCATGCTTTGGATATCTAGTGCTTGGCTCCCGCCCAGCCTCCACACGCAGACTGTGAGTTGTGTCCTGCAATGACAATTGTGAACGCCTCTTTCTTATCTGCTTCTCTCTTCCGCTTCAAAACGAGAACCTCAGGAGAAAATATTCAACCTTGAAAAAAATGTCTCCTCGCAAGGCCCAAGCCAGGATAGGGATTCAGGACAGCTGACTACTGTGTGCAAGGTACGCCGTGGCCTCTGGGACCTTCCGCGGTGCGATTTGAGTCGAGACGCCGGATCGACGAATGCACGTTAAAGTGCTGCATTCTGGGGCAAGACCTAGTTAGTAAGGAAGGCAGTAGGGAGTGTGAATGGGATGATCAAGGCGACTGGATGCTGTATCAATCCTCCTTCTCGAAAGCCTTCGATCCGGAATTTTCCTGTGAGAACGATCTGTCCTGCCAGCACTTCCGTCTCCCGCCCTTCGAGGACTGGTACGTTCAATGGGAGCTCAACGCCAGAGGTGTCCTCCCGCCCCGCGTCTCCACCTGGGACACTAGTTCCCTCTTACACCGCAGCGGAAGCAATGAGAGCAGCTTACCCGAAGGGATATTTTCCTGGCGATTATCCACGTCGTTCCAGACACGTAAACTGGCCCCTTCGTCCACTGTGCATTCTCTCGACTCTGCTGTTTCTGGCTGCTATCTGTAGCATGCGACATGAGCAAGTGATGGAAGATCCACGATCGATGCCTTGACAGACACGCCACCTGCCTACAGGGTTTTAAGATTTGGAAGATTTGGAAGATTTTGAATTACATCGCAGTTAGTGACCAGTCGGATGAAGATGGAAAGGAAACCATTCCGCGAGACCTTCGAATTGTATGCCAGTTTTTGGGTGAGTATATTCATATAATACTCGCATGTTGGAGAGAGTGAGTGTTACAATTGTGTAGGGTGCCCGGGGAAGAAACGACGAAATTTCGTAAATAAGCTCTTCACAAAATTTTAAGCACATTTCGTGTAATAGACGCCATGGATATTCTGAATGGCTGAGCAATAAGCCCTCCGTAATATTTTGGTTTGAAAAAATACTTTCTATGGAAATATTTTGCATTTCAACGCACCAAAAACACGTAAATTGTTTATTATTTACAAATGAAATGAAAATATTTGTTCACAAAGAAAAATTAACACAGAAAAAAGCCGTCGAATTGTGTAAATTGGCTGCTTTTTTATTTCTATGCTAATATTTTGTGAACAAATATATTCATTTCTTTTGTAAATAATAAACAATTTACATGTTTCTGAAGAGCTTCTATGCTTCTTCAATGCAAATTTTTGCCTAGACAGCATTTTTTCAAACCAACTTTTGAATGCTTATTGTGGCTCAGCCATCCAGAATATCCAAGGGGTTTATTAGACTAAAATTGTCTTAAGTGTGTGTTTACGAAGTTTCGACATTTTCTCCCTGGATACACGGTTGTATATCAATTATGCATGGATATGATAGTCAGTTTGAAATGAAGCGAAATTGCAAAACAATTACTTTGGCAAAAGATAGTAATCTGTATACCATCCCCAAGCATAATGTTCGCAGATGTGAACAAGAGAGCTTTTTCGTACAAACCATATATTAAGCACACTAAGGATCTTCATCTCATTTCGTAGTGGTGCTTCCACAGCACCTACTGTCTCACATTATACCTAACTTTGGTAATTTTGGAAAATTCAGAGAATTCTACAAATATTAAGCCAGTGACATATTTACGGTTCTTTGCAGTCTCCATGCAAAAAAGAAAGAAAACATGTTCACCCATTTTTTAGAATAAACTAGAGGTGCTACAGAATGGCAGTTTCCCGTATTATTCTCGTAGTAGTAGAACGGAAATTTTATTTTAAGAAAATTAAAAAACAATAAAATTTTTTTATATATGGCAATTTTCTTTGAGAAAATTGAAGACATGGCATTTAAGCGCTACTGTAATTGCGAAATTTGAACCTCTTTTCACAGAAAACTATTATTTTTTTAAAAAAATGACGTCATTTCAAGCACTTCCAGCCACAAATGCAATATTATTTACAAATCGCTGGAAATATGCGCATTGAGGTGTGAAGGATCTTCCAAAAAATTACATTTGTGTAATTTTAATATTACATTTACAAATGTAAATATTACATTTGTGTAATTTATGAAAAAACAAACGAATACAACACAATTAATTCTATTTCATCTTCAGCAATTATCACTATCTATTGAAAAATGTTAAAAAAAAACAAGTTTGAGTCGTTTTTGAGAAAATGGCGTTTGAGTCTTTCTGAAAATGCGGAATTCGAAGATCATTTTCACGGAAAACTGATGAGTTTTCAGGAACCTTTATTTGACATTATTTAAAGCACATGTACTCATAAATATTAGCACATATATTGTTACGTCAGTCGGTGTCAGTACTATGTAATATAAGTTTCCTATGACAACTCGGCGCCTTTGTCTGTTCGGTCGATTTTGCGATATATAAAGGCAGAGATTTTCTTAAAAAAAAAAAAAAGTCAAAATCAAAATTATCATTTGGCATTGAGTTTCATTTGGTGGAATGCCAGAAAGATGAAGTTAATTTACCTAATACATACTTTTCTAATTTTACTATTAATAATATTTCAATTAACAATAATTATCCTAAAAACTAATATGAGTTACTTTTATTCCGAATTGTTTGGATCTAATTGTTTGGATCTAATTTGTTTTCTTCATCACCATATTTTTTCTTAACAAACATTTGACTTGTGATGAATCGATGGTTGTTTATTTACGTTGCTAGGTATGTTAAAATCTGTAGCAAAGGCTGTTAAATTTCTTAACATAGATGTGCACTTAACAAACATGTGCAGTTGCATGTTAGCAGGGGTGTTTTTAACACATGTGACCAATAAAGAAAATTACGTTTGTGTTTTTTTGAAAAATCTAATACTACTACAAAATGTCGTTTATAGTGTATTATTGAGTGCATGTAGCACTATCCGCATATTTAAAGAAAAAATTGAAGCGATTTTTGAGAAAATCCTGTTTTTAAAATTATTTTAATTTTGCCTTAATATCTCTCAAAATTACGGGGAAATTTTTCATATTTTGAGAAAATGTAGTATATGTAGCCATTTAAATGTTTACGAGTACTTGTAGTATTTTCATTATATTCGAAATTTTAAAGAATAGATTTTATTCAGAGGAAAACTATCTGAAATACTGTAGAAAGACGCAAAGAGCTTTTGCAATTTTTGAAAATTCACACATTTCTCCGAAACTGACACATGTGCCGTTTTTTGAGCTCCTTTACACAATACGAAGACAATTTCATTAACTTTGTAGCCAGTTTTGAGAAAAAAATTGAACATGTCTTTGAGGTTCGTGTAAAGTACTCCCAAATATTTTTAAAAAAACTGTTTCAAATTCAAATGGCCGAGACGTCAGACAAAGCAGGAAATATAGGTTTTGGTGAAAATCTTGCGTAGAGTTTAGCCGCTAGCGTTGTGTACAGATAGCCTGCCCGACAGGCAGATGGACAAACGTTTTGCCGTAAACTAGTTTTTCGGTGTCAAGAACCCACAAAGCGTGGATTTTTACTACATATCGTGTTAGAGGAAGTAATATACTACATATGGGAACAAGTATTAAACCCTTTTTCGGTATCAGAGGTTTACAATACGAGAATTTCGGCCAAAAGATCAGTTTTTGGCAGTTGCGTCACATAACTTTCTCTATAATAGTAAATTTGTAGAATGCGAGAAGTTAAGTCTATTTTCAATTTAATTGTAGGAGGGGCCGAACAAATTTTAAACTTATGAAACTTGCAAAAAATCAGAGTTAACATAGAAAATCCGGTCTACGCCATCTTTAAAAGTCAATTTCATTCTATTCTTACTAGAAATTTTAAATTAAGTAATTATTTTGAAACATTTTTGAGAAAAGATTGAAAATGTGCGGGGTTCATGTAAAGTACCTCGTTTTTATTTACAAAAATCCTACGAATAGTTTAGGCTCTAGTGTTGTTCACATATTAGAAGGCGGACCAAGGACGTTTTGAGAAAAAACGCGTCGGAAAACGCGAGAGAAAGTGTGCATCGGTAAATGCATTTTTTTGGCAGAAAAAACTTATTACTGGACCTTGATGGTAAAAAAGTTCAATAAAATTGTTCCTATATGTAGTAAATTAGTGGATCTAATACATGGAGATAACCTAACCTATGTATTAGGGTCCTCGACTGACGGGAAAACATTTATATGCTTGTCTGTGGTCAAGGTTCAAACGATTTTTTGCACAATTTATATTCACTGATCGATTTGAACGATCTCAAGACTCTGCAAATGTGAAAGTGCAAAGGTCCGTTAATATAGTATATTAGAGACAGTTGCTAGTCATATATACAACCATTTATTATCCTTCCTATTAACTATTAACAGCTCGTTAGAGATAGAGCATACTAATAATTATTCGTAATTACTTTAAAATTCTTGAATTATTGCTCTGAAAAATCAATGATTCATCTGAAGTTTGGTATCTGGTATATTTATTTTTTTCATTTTCATATGCTGGCAAGTATTATAAGTTCGGTTGAATTTGGTTTTTGCACTTTTCTTTCTGCGTTGAATATCAGTCCGCAGTGCGTGTATCGAAAGAGAAATAATGATATTTCAATAGTTTATGGCTGTGTTCTAACTGTGCAACGTGTAAGAGGAAGAAATTGATTACAAAGTGGAATAAAATGTACCTACTTTTTTGATATCAGAGCCCATTAATACGATTTTTTCTGTCCAAAACTCTCCGGATTTCACCGTAGCATTACACTTTTTTAATACTACTGCATACTTGTAAGTAGCACGAGAAAAAGTAAAACATAACTCATTCAATATTTGATGACCTCAAAATATATAGGCTCTTTCCTTTACAATCGGTACTTCAATTTCTCGGGACTTTTCTGTAGCATGATATTACTTTCTCTTGTGCTACCATCCTTTTTCCGCGTTTACGTACTTATACAAGAAATTAAATTTGTTTGTTCGTGAAAACAAAATGTGGAGTAATCATTTGTTTGTGAAGAACGCTGTTGAATTGTTTTGGCAAACGAAATTATCATAAATATTCCTTTGTTTTTACAACTTATATTTTATTTTTTCAGGTTTTATGGTTCAATTGTTTGAAGATTAAATGGACAGCTGATTTCAATGATTTGATGATTACTTCTGGAAGGAGAGTTTGAACATCTGGCGTTTACTAGCAAAAGGACGAAGAAGCAAGTTTTTATTGGAGGAGACTGTGAAATATATAGAGGCGACATCCTGTCATGAAAATGTACTGGTATAGGAACAGCTGACTGCACGTCGTTGAGAAGTATTCTTCGTTCTTGAAGCAAATACTATACAATGCGATTTTTTTAAACTGTGCACCTGATCCCTGCCTTCACTTTCACATTATCACTGCATTTCATGTCTTCTAGGAGTGCCGCTAGATGTCGCGAGGTCGAGACTATCAATCACCAACGGTCGCGACATCTAGCAGTACAACCTAAAAAAGACGCGAAATGCAGTGACATATGTCAATGTGAAGACGGGGCTCAGGTGTACAGTTAAAATAATCGCACTATAGGGACAAAACAGGACACACATATACATAATGGGAGACATTTGACGCTAGCGCCTCTAGTGGCCCGGCCTGTCATAATCATTGTGAATACAAGTACGAAGTGTATAAGTTTGAAATATTTTTAGTTTACTAAAGATTATGTTTACGGACGTTTTGCAGCATTCAAAAGGTATTGTATATGTTTTGAAATTTGAATTTGTCGCCCATTTTCCAGGTCACGTCTGTAGGTTTGCTAGTGAGGACTTGTCTCCCATTAAGTATGAGAAAGGTTGAAATTATCCTGCATTTTCTACATAGTATTTGCCTCGCCATGTTATAAAAGTACGCAAAGACGTCAGCCACACCCAAGCAGCATTCATCGGGAAGCCTGACGACAGGGCTGCACCCAACAAAAACATTCATTAATTAAATTTTAGATTGTTCTGTATACAAGACGGTTATGTTCCTAACTCACATGATCCGAAAACAGATACACATATTCACAAACAAGAAACGACTTTACGTGTGTCGTGTTCATAGCTATCATATAGAAATTAATAAATGTTAGAGATTTATCTTTTTTGGCCATGATTCTTTCTCGTGTAACTATTTGCTGACGTCTCTATACATTTGTGAAATCTTGATCTGTCGACAAACAAATAAAGTTTAATGGCAATGCGCGGCACACCGATTTATTTCTCTTCTTAGTGTTATTACTCAACAATTACTTAGATTGTTTTAAAAAGGTTCTTGACATTACTCAAAATTCTACAACTCAATGAATTTATGCCGAAAACATTTAAGTCACGAGGATCAATGTGGTTGAAAAGTGACTTGATAAGTGGGCATATATCTTAAAATTTTGAGTAGCAAGGATTCACGCCAAAAATTACTGTGTACGATGTAGCTGTAGTTAGAATACTTCTACATACAGAACCTTTAGTTCAACATCTTTCCGAAAGTTTAATGGAAATGGTTTATATTTACAAAAATCTGTACATGTGTTTGTAGTATAGAAATAAGACAAAGAAATCCTACTGTCTACCTTACTTCCAAAAGTCAATGCTTAGCATAATTATAACCACTGTTGCTATTTTGTGAAATTCTACATATGTCAGACGATGCCAAGACTTCGTTTACATTGAGCTCTGCGCGTGATAATTTTCGGAAAACCAATAGTCCTCATGGACAATGAAATCATTCAAAAGGCGTAAAGAAGAGAGAAAAATGAAAAGTATAACTATTGTAATACATGTTAAAATAAAAGTATAACTATTTATAATAATTGTTAGTTAAAAGTAATTACAATCGAAATAGAAGCAGAACTCGAAAATTGTTTTGTTGTTGTGGAAGTTATTTTCTTTTTTGATGTAAAAACCGTACATCATATCCACAATGAAGTGTTTATAACTCAAGTTTAAGAATTTAATATTTGGTAAAAGAGATAAAATTCCGAAGTCCATTATATGATTTGTACGCGCTTGTTATAATTGATGTCATTGTGCTTTTGGATGGGAGGTAGAATAGTTAATATTCATACTAAAGAAATAGTTCGAAAATGTAATTTAATTTTTAATTTACACTCACATCTATGCAACAGATGAATAATCATAATTATAATCGTATTTCTCACTTTATTTAACATATGCATCTTAGAAGAATAAATTCACATACATATATTTACATTCATAGCATACAATCTGAAGATTCCGTGGTTCCATGGCGGCGGTGATAGTGTAAATGTCAGACTGTTATACCCAAGTTTGCTGGTTCAACCCTGGCCGAAACCGTGGATTTTTAAGGGCGAAAGAGGCCTTCGTACGCCTTTCTTCGGAGGAGAAGTAAAGCCGGCTGTACCATGTTAGTAGATATACTACATGTAAAAGATCCTCAAGCCTAAATGACGCCTCTGAGCTAAATTCAAATCGACTGTTAATTATTCATTCAGTTTTTCTCGTGTCCCGTCGTTGGTGTGAAACTTGTATATATTTCGTTATTTTCAAGCAGAAATTAACGAAAAACTAATCATTATTTTCAAAAAACGTTTATGGAGCTAATTTTGTACAACATACGTCGTTGGAGGAAAAAGACTCTATGTTCAATTTTGTAGTTTTAAATGTTTTGCAACGTTTGAAAAACCGGAGCTGTATCTGAAAAAATCCTTCGTACGCCCTCCTTCGGAGGGGAAGTAAAGCCGACTGTCCCATTTTAGTACATTTACTACAATTAAAAGATCCTCAGCCTAAATGCAGCCTCTGAACTAAATTCAAATCGCCTGTTTCGCCGCCCTAGAAAAACCTCCTTTTTCCGCTAGTGGGTGAAAGGAGCGTCACGAAATTTGCGTGCTCAGACGGATGAGCGGGTCTGATAGCCTGAGTCTCGCCACGGAAAATAAGGCATCAATGCAATTCAGTTGTTTTCCGGTTTTATCCAATCTGTCACTAATTGCGACGTAACTCTCAATATCCTAAATATCAAAACCGAATAATCGGGAAACTGGCAAGGCAACGAGCGTGGATCTTTTGTCGCTTGCTCTTGTTGCATGCTACAGACAGCAGTCAGCAACAGCAAAGCCGAGAGAATGCACAGAGGACGGAGCAGCCAGTTCACGCGCGTGGGAAGAGGTGAATATTCGCAGTAGAAGATCCCTTCGTGTAAGCTGCCATTATTCCTGCCACTACGGTAGGAGAGGAAACAAGTGTCCCAGGTGGAGACGTGGGACGGGAGGACACCTCTGGCGTTGAGATCTCGTTGAACGTACCGGTCCTCGAAGAGCAAGAGATGGAATTGTTTCAGGGCTGATCGTTCTCATAGGAAAATTCCGGATCAAAGGCTTTCGTGAAGGGGGATTGATACAGCATCCAGTCGCCTTGATCATCCCCTTCACACTCCCAAACGCCTTCTTTGTCTACCAGCACTTGCCCCAGAATGCAGCACTTAAATGTGCACTCGTAATTTCGGTATTTCGACTTACACCGCATCGCGAAAGTTCCCCCAAAGGTGGCGGCTTTACCTTGCACACAGTAGTCGGCTGTCCTGAGTCCTCCTCCTGGCTTGGGCCTTGCGGTCAGATGTTTTCCAAGGCATGCAATCGTTTTCCTTTAGAGACCCTCCTTTTCAAGCAGAAATGCGGATATGCGTTCACAAAAGAGACAAATATACAGCTGTCTCACCAAGTATGGGCCACCCTCATAACTTTGAAACGGTTCATGAGGTCGAAATGAAGTTTTTGCCCGACAATGCAGAATCATGGGTCAAGTAGTAGGCTCTATAGATATTGTAATATTGTAATTTATTTTTAAATTTTACTCATATTTCAACCATTTATAGTTAAAATGACGGGAAGGGATTCTGAACTCAAGAAAACGTGCGCAGATAATCTTCTTCCCCCTACGTCACATACGGTTTTGACTGTTTATTTTTTTGACCGAATAAATCTAAATTATTCTACGATTTGTAATATTAAGTTAATTTATTGCCGCCTTTTTTGTATTGACACCCACTCAAAGGAAGCGCAGGAAACTAAAACTAATGTCGTTGGTTCGATTGTAACGTTCGTTAGATTGACCTCGGTAACCCCCCCCCCCAAAAAAAAAGAAAAACAGAAATTTTACTTTCTTTAAAAGAAAGTAAAATCTCTGTTCAAGATTTTTTTAGTACAAGCGGTTATGTCAAATCTTTCGCCTCTAGTTTTCTTTAAATTATTGAAGTTACACGATTACCTTTTTCTTGTATTTAAAACGCAGTACATTTTTAGGGACCAGATAATAACTTACCTCATCACGTATTCTGAGAAGTCATTTATAAAAAAAACCTGCTGCGAAATTAATCGCAAACGGAAGTACTAGAAGTTGCGCTATACAAATCATGCTATCGTTAGCACTGGTTCTCTTAGGGTGCGAGAGAAAACGGCGATTAAAATATGGATAATAAAATAAGTTTCTAATCATTTCTGAAAGGTATATTCGGAACTACCAGGTCGACTAAATAAAACATCGGTATTTTATCACCGCTACCATATCGACGTTCAACAATAATAACCTTCTCAAACATCGATGCTGCGTTGTAGTGTAAAATTTCATTTGAATTAAGCTTTGCGGGTAGCTTAAAAATAAATATATCAATACATTGAGAAAACAAATGGAGTAAATCGTAAACGTATGAGAAAGTAAAAAATAATTAATATTGCCATTTTCAGTAGTAAATTATAGTTAAAATTAAATTATTTTTCATATCATTTATTCGGTTTTTCTCGTGCCCCGTCGTTGGTGTGAAACCTGTATACATTTCGTTAATTTCAAGCAGAAATTACCGAAAAACATCTCATTTATTACAAAAAAATTATGGAGAGAATATTTTGGACAACATATTTCGTCTGAGACAAAAGGCTCTATCTTCAATTTTGAATTTGGATTTTTTTCCAATGTTTGAAAAATCCGAGCTCTGAAAAAGAGACTATCATCATATTTTTTATCGTTCCTTATTACATATGTGGATAAAATGTAGAGAAAAAAGGAGCGGGTTTTGAGAGAAAAAGGGTTTTGTGTCAAAAATACCCGGTTTTCCGTCGCATGATTACAATACAATCTCTCCTCACGTAGTAAGTGCGGGAAAGCAAAATATACCCTCTCATTTAAAGAAATAAAGATAATTAAATTTTTCGAAAATTAAAAATATTACGAACAACATGTATACAGCATATTACTTGCCCCATGATTCCGCATTGTCGATCGAAAACTGCATTTCGATATCGTGAAACGTTTAGAAAA